GCAGCACCATGCGTTCTTTTCATATGTGTTCGGGGATTCGTTTTGAACTCTCTGCGGGTCCTAGCGTCGTTGGGCGATTTCGCCATGCTTGGCGACGCGCGAAAGCGCGCGTCGTCAAAGTGTTCGCACAAGGGGTTCTTGCGACAACGCGCGCGCGAGGGCATTCGAGCGATGTCGACGCGCGCGCACGAGGGGCCCGCTCGGTTGCATGCTACGGAGCTGTTTCAGAACCGATGAAGTTCACACTCGTCGTTTGAGAACCTTCGTTGCGGAACTATGTTTATGTGTGGGCGTGATTCTCGGTGGGCAAATCCGTACGAAACCTGTAGTTATTGACGGAAATCGGCATTCGCGCGCGACGAAGCCCGCGCGCGTGCGCTTGGCCCCCTTTGTTGCGATGGATTATTGGCAACTCGTCATTTTTGGTCAAAACGACTGAGCGCGAATCATCTTCCTTACAAAAGATGAGGGGGGGAGAGGGCGATCTCCTGCCCGGCTGGGGTGGCATGAATTCACGGGGAGAAGAACGGGGGCACAACCATATGTAAATCGCATCGCGCGGTCGCAGCATGATGAGTCCCGGGGGTGGGGGGGTTCTCGAAAAAGACAAATCAACATGGCGCGCAACGTATGTGGTGCAACTGGCGTGGTGCAACCAACGTGGCCCAATCTGCGCAATGCAATCTATGCGGAAATTTAGTCGTGCTGTGGAAACCGTGGAACGATCATGTGGAGCAGCACTTTTTTGTTCGCGGTCAATTGCCCGCCCCACTGATCGCGCAGCCTTTCCTACCTGTCCACGGGCAAAATGAATTGCAAAACCCGTGCGGCGGCGATTCCGATGACTGCATGGCGTTGGCTAGCGCATGTCGGGCCAGGCAAGCCCGCGCATGATCGCGCGCGCAGCGGCCGCCTCGTTTGGCGCGACCGACGCCGCCGCGGCGGCGTTGACTGCCGGGCACTTCCCAAAGGGCACTTCAGCGCGAGCTGGTGAGTTGGGCGGGCGCGGTATCATGGAGATGATGGTGGTAAAGATGATGGCATTAGCGATGCCAGCGGCGATGCTGACAACGACGATGGCAAGGCCACTGACGGCGCCGACGTTGATCACCCCGGCGACGATGACGGCGCACTCGGGTCGTCGATGGAGGTCGCTGAAGGAGTTCGACACGCGCGCGCGGCCGACGCGCGCGAGTGGCCCGCGTGGCATTGACGCGACTCGCGCCCCCACCCAGCACGCGCGCAAGGGCGTTCGAATGAATTCGACACGCGGCGCGAGAGGCCCCTTTTGGCAGAATTTTACATTCAACTTGAGCAGCCTCCCGCTGCAAACTCATATGTTTTGCGACTAAGGCCCTCGAAAGATTGCCGCGCGCACGCGTCCTCCACGCGCGCCAAGCTGGAGGAAGTGCAGGGGGGGAGTGGCGACGTGGAGCCTGTCCAGCCCGCCCGCGGAGTTACAAGAAATGCTGAAGTACGCGCAGAAAGGCCGTTTGATCTCCGCGACCTGGCCCAGGACGCGCTGCCGGGGCGTCGCGCGGGAGGTCGCGGAGCGGGGGGCGCGGTGGCGATGCTGAGGAAAGCCAGGGCGGCCGACAGAGCATCTGTGAAGATGTATACATGTACATGTAAACGTACACAAGAAATCCAAACGCTCGACGTTGCAATTGTTCGAAACTTATGGCTCTAAGCATTCGGCGCGCGCGCTCGACGACGCGCGCGCATTTCGTTGCCTTGGCTGCCAGGGGGCCTTGAGAAGCGATGCTGATTGATTACCGAGTGCACGCGCGCATTGCTATCTGGCGGAGAATGAGGGACAGGGCGGGGGGGCAGGCCTGCCTGGGATGAGCAGGGGCGCATGCTGAGGATGGGCGACGAAACAGAATCCCGCGCAACTTGCAACGCGTAGAAGGGAGCCGTTAAGCGCTGGGGGGGGGGGGCGGGAGGGGGGGCCCCGATGCTCCTTTCGCAAGGAACCTACGCCGCACATTTGGCTTTCACGAACGAGTTGACACATTCCATGCTCTCGCAGACGCCCCGCCCACCGCCCGCAACTTGGTCTGCGCTGCCCGCGCGGCGGCGATCGCGATGAGTGCACGGCGTTGGCTGGCGCATCCCTGCGGCCGCGCTGGCCCTCGCGTGCTCGCGCGGGCGGCGGCCAGCCAGCTTGGCGCGACCGACGCAGCCGAAGTGTCCCGGCCCGCCAGGCACTTCCAAATGCACTTCGGCGCCAGCCGGTGACATGGGCGGGCGCGACATCGCGGCGTCGCCGACAATGGTGGGCGCGATCATGAAAGCGGCGACGACGGCGGCAATGACGACGGCAAATCGACGGCGCAGATGTTGATCGCGCCCACTGATGGCGATGACGATGTCCTCGCGTCTGCGGCGACGGCTCACGCGCGCGCGCGGCCGACGCGCGCGAGCGGCCCGCGGCGCGCCGTTTGACGCGGACTCCCCCGCTCCCCGCGCGCGCGAAAGGGCGCCCGCGCGGCGTCGACATTCGGCGCGAGAGACCTTTTTTTCTGGCGGGGGAACCTTGCGACACCCATACTTTTCTAAAAGATTCCGGCGCGCGCGCGCGACGATGCACGCTCGCGCGTAGTCCCATTCTGCGGCGGCATGGGATTTTTGCGATAGCGCGCGCGCCAAGGCGTTCGAGTGATTCCGACATGCGCGCGCGAGTGGCCCGCATGGCAGCACCGACGGCTTGGTTTAGAGACTTCGCACGGGCGCTGGCGCATGATGTTTTGGCTTTGAAAGCCCTCGTGGCGAAAGGGCGTTTTCAAACGCTTCGTGACGCTCGATGTTCGGCATTATTCGGCTTCCGAGAAATGTGACATGCGCGCGCGACGGGGAGCGCGCGCGCTTCGTCAAACTTGTTGCAGTGCAATTGTTGAGCGCGCGTGGCTTTTGATACGCGAAAGCGCTCATATTTTCCGCTGCAGAGGATGAAGGGGGGGGGGCCCGGCCTGGCTGAGGCGGCGTGACTTCATATGGAAAATGAACAAAGAAACAACCACACGCAACTTGCAATGCGCGAGGTTGGCCCGGTATCCCCGCGGGCGACGGGGGTGGGTCGAATCTCTTGTATGCGAATTATTCTGACGGAGAGCCCAATCGCACGCGGCCACGAATGCCGCCGCTGCCAGCAACGACGTGGGCGTCTCCTCACGGGGCCAAGGGGCGCGCGAAGGGCGTGACGGCGCGGGGCGGGGCCGCCTTGTGGGCGCGGCCACTGGGGCTCCTAGGTGGGACCCGCTATGGCGCCACGAAGCTTGCGACGGGTGCGCAGCGGTGGGGCGGGGCCGCCACTGAAGCATTCGGCGGTGCCCCACGGGGCGACGAAACGCTGATCATCGCGGGGGGGGGCGCGCGCGAACGCCGCCAGCGGGGCCTTCGGAGATGCCCCCTATGGGGCCGCGAAGCGCTGCACTGGGCGCGGGGGCGACGCGCGCGAAAGCCGCCGCCGAGGCCTTCGGCGGGGCCTCCACGGGGGCCGCGAAGCGCCGCGTTGGGCGGGCGGGAACCGCGCGCGAACGCCGCCCGCCACTGAAGCCTTCAGCGGCGCGCCCACATGGGGGGGGGGGGCCACGAAGCGCCGTGCTGGGCGGGGGAACCGCTCAGGCCGTCCAGTAGAACTCCCTATGGGGCCACGAAGCGCTGCGCTGGGCGGGGGAATCGCGCGCGAACGCAGCCGCTGGGGCCCTCGGTGGAGCTGTGCGCTGGGCGGGGGGAAACGCGGTGGAACGCCCCCACTAAAGAATTCGGTGGAGCTCCCATATGGGGCAACGGCGCGCTGTGCTGGGCGAGGGGAACCGCGTGCGAACATCGCCGCTGGGGCCTTCGGTGGAGTTCCCTCTGGGACCGCAGCGCGATGTGCTGCGTGAGGGGTGGCGCATGCGGGCGTTGCCATTGAGGCCTTCGGTGGAACTCCCCATGGGGCGAAGGAAGGCTGCCTTGGGTAGGGGTGACGCGCGCGGGCGTTGCCGCTGGGGTTCTCGGCGTGGCTCCCAAAGAGGCCGCAGACTTTGCACTGGGTGGGGGTGGCGCATGCGGGCGGCGCTGCTAGGGCCTTCGGTGGAGATCCCTATGGGGCCGCCACGAAACGCCGTGCTGGGTGGAGGTGGCGCACGCTGGCGGCGCCGCCAGGGCCTTCGGTGGAGCTCCCTGCAATGGCCGCGAAACCTTGTGCTGAGCGGGGGAACGGCATGCTGGCGAGGGCAGAGGCACGGGCGGGGGCGGAGGGGGGAGAAGGGGGGAGAAAAGGGAGGTAGAAAAGGAGGAGGAACCGCGGGGCGCTGTCACTTCAAAACGAGGACCCAACAACGCAGGATTGTTAGGAAGAATATTGGCTTCCGTTCGCAGTGGGTTTTCACCTTCACTGCTCGCGCCAACAGCCCACCCACCCGCCCGCAACTTGGTTTGCGAAACCCATGCGGCGGCGATTGCGATGAATGCTTAGCGTTGGCTGGCGCACCTCTGCGGCCGCGCTAGCCCGCGCATGCTCGCGCGCGAAGCGGCCGGCTAGGTCGGCGCGGCCGACGCGGCCGCGGTGGCAGCGACCGCCGGGCCTTTCCCAACGGGCAGTTCAGTGCGAGTCGGCGACTTGGGAGGGCGCGGTATCATTGCGACGCCGACACAGGTAGGCACGATGACGGTAATCGCAATGCTGGTAACGGAATGACAACGGCGATGGCACGGCCAGTGACGGCGCCGATGCTGGTCGCGTTGTCCAATCAAGGTGGGCGGTGACGGGGCGGCATTGGCGAGCACGGAGCCGCCAGGCCGACGCCCAGGCCCAGACGACGGGTTGCGACGAGGCATCGGCGGGGCGGCGACGGCGAGCACGGAGCGGCCAGACCGAAAACCAGGCCCAGCTCCCAAGAGCAGAGTAAGAACCATTAAGTGCATGCACTGGTTTAGGGCATGTGTATAGATGTACGTATGCATGTGTGCATGCATGCATTGTATGTATGTATGTATGTATGTATGTATGTATGTATGTATGTATGTTTGTATGTATGTATGTATGCATGCATGCATGCATGCATGCATGTATGTATGTGTGCATGTATGTATGTCTGTATGTAAATATGTATGTATGTATGTATATGTGCTCTCTGCTTCTCCATCCCTCTCTCGTTCTCACAAGTTGTCACAAGCTCCCTTTGTCTCCATCTGTCTCCTGTCACGCACCCTGCCTGCCTGCCCGCTTGCGCCTGCGCCTGTTCCTGTGCCAAGCCAATGTCGATCCTGCTTGTCCCGCCCAAGACACCTTCCCAGAGATGCGACGTCTTGACACAAAGTCCCGACCCTTGCTTCTGAGCAAGTCTGATGACGGTCCTGGAGCCCTGCGAAACCACCCCGGCGCCCAAAATCGCCCACACAACATCGCGGTAATGCTTTCAAGACGCTGGACGTCTGGGATGTACCAGGGATTTCCCATTGGGGGCTTCCCGACTGGGTTCGCGTAGATTGGGTCGGAGGATCGTGTCGCGTCGGCGATGCATTGGCATGGAGAAGATCGGGCCCCACGTCAAGCCGCATCGCCAGTGCAACAGCGAGGCGGCGCGACCCCATGTGGGAAGCTCAGGGCCCAGGCATCCGACGGCGTGGCTCCCCAGGAGGGCTTGACCTCTTCCCCAGGACCGGCCTTTCATCCTTACTTGTTTCGATGGCCCGAGTACCAATCGAGGGCGCCTGGTGGCTGAACACTGCAGAACAGAATCCATGTTTTTCCCCCCCCGACTCGAGGACGTCAGGCCAGGGCTTAGGAAGCGCAGAATTGGAACGCAACTTCATCAGAACCATTAAGGCTGTGAAATCCGACTCATGGGCGATCAAACCCGACTACCTCAGACTAAGCCCAATATTGAGACATATTGAATTGGACTGAGGAGAACTAAGCTGGATGAGACGGAACTCGACTGGACTGTGCCGCATCAGGCTGGTTGTCGGCCGCGGACAGCTACACCAGCGCCGATGCCGAAAATAATATCCCAGGAGTTGCCACCGAGCCAGAATGTCTGGGCTTGTGAGCTTCGCTTCCCCAACCCAATATACCCATGGGCGCGGCCTGGGCCCGAGAAGTCAAGGGGTCAATCCTAATCTTGGGTGCTGAGATGGTGGTGGTCTGGATCGGGATGGGAGCAAAAGTCCGCTAAACGATGCTGGGCTAAGCCACAGACGCCCCTTCCAGCACGCGACGCTGGCGGCGCGGGAGCGGCGTCCGCTGGGGGGGCGCCGCGGCGGGCGGCGCGCCCACGCCTTGCCGCGGGAACCGGCGCCAGAGCCTGAGCATGTAGGCGGGCCGCCCAAGGCCCCACCACTCGAAGGGAGCCCAAGTGAGCGACGATCAGAAAGGGCTATTACACAAGATGACCAAACTACATCACGCGGTGGTTTCCGCGGGCCGCAGGCGCGGAACGCTACTCTGGAGACGAGGGCGCTCACGCGCGACCTTGCGCGGGAAGCCTGCGCATAAACACTGTCATACACATCGCATTCGGGGGGGTCGCCGGCATCCCGCGACGCTCGGGTGCCTACGTGAAGGAAACCGCCACCGGTGCCAGTTTTTTGTGACAGAAATTGTTAACCAAAATGGACCTCAAACAATGCGCGTCTCGCAATCCATGCGTGTACATATACATACATACATACATACATACATACATACATACATACATACATACATACATACACACTCATACATATACATGGTGCACTCTACGTGGAGCGCTATATGTAGCGCGATCTAGATAGTGCAATCAATGGTGTGCAATTCGTGGCGTGCTACAGTTGTTTTGCCTTCGACACGGACAGCCAATGAGGTGCAATGTCTGCTGTGAAACCGTTGTAGGGCGAGGTATGTGGTGCAACATGCGCGGTGCAATCTACGTTACAAAATATATGGTGTGCAATTTACGTTGCGCATTCCAGGTGCTGCGGCCGACTTGAAGATAGCAACATGCAGTACATGTCGTGAAACATGTGTGGTAGTATGAACGTACTGCTGGAGGTTGTGTAAAGTACGTGTTGCAATCTACGAAATACCATCTACGCTTGGCAAAATGGGTTGGTCAGTCTATGTGGTATCACTTACGCGGCCAATTCTTAGTGTTCAATTTGTGGTGTGCAATAAGTGATGAGCAATGGGAATCGCGCACTCATGCAGTACAACCTGCGAAATGCAATGGTGCGGAATGTGTTGTATAATTTGTGGTGCGCAATATAAATATCTAGACACATATGGTGCAATAGCTATATATGGTAAATTAATTGATGTTCGCAATGAGTTGTCCATTCCACTGCTCGCGCAAACATACCACCCTCGCACCCACCCGCAACTTGGTTGGCAAAACCAACGCGGCGGCGATTGAAATGAGTGTTCGGCGTTGGCTGGTGCATGTCCGTAGCCGCGCCAACCCGCGAATGCTCGCGCGCGCAGCGGCCAGCTAGTTTGGCGCGACCGAGGCGGCCGCGGTGGCGCTGACCGCTGGGCACATCCCAGCGGGCAATTCTGGTCTAGTCGGCGACTTGGGTGGCCGCGGTATCGTTGCAACGTCGACGACGGTAGACACGATGATGATCGTAGCGATGCTGGTGGCGATGCTGACAGCGACGACGGCACGGCCATTGACGGCGCCGATGCTGATCACGCCGGCGACGATAATGGCGTCCTCGCGTCGGTGATGAAGGTTTTGGGAAAAATTCGACATGCGCGCGCGGCCACGCGCGAAAGTGGCCCCCCCCCAACCACGCGCACAAGGGCGTTCGAATGAGTTCGGCATGCGGCGCGGAGAGGCCCATGTGGCAGAAGTGCATGAAACTGCTGAAGGACCTATGGTATTTCTGAAGGATTCGCCAGAGCGCGAGCGCAAGCTTTATTCAAAACTGACGTTGCGACACCATCTGTGTGCATATGGTTTCGGAACAGTCGGTTTTGAAATCCGTGCGGCACCCAGGTTTTTGAAGGATTTCGGCATGCGCGCGCGACGACGCGCGCGCGTGCACTCACCCCGTGTTTTGCGAAGGATTCTCGCGAAAGAACGCGCGCAAAGGCGTTCGAACGATTTCGACACGCGCGCGCGAAGCCCGATCGGTAGCACTGTATGACAAATGTTGAGAAACCTACGTTTTCGAAAGAATCTGAGAAAGAGGGTGCGCAAGCCCTTTTTCCACATCATTCGAATTTAAATCCTTGCAGAACCTTCGGTGTTTGACAGATTTCGGCATGCGCGCGCCACGACGCGCGTGTGCGCTCGTCGTCCCTTTTTATGCCGTCGTCCCTTTTTATGCCAAGGGTTTTTGAAAACTAATGATTTGTGATAAGCGAATGCACGCGCATAACATTTTTTGCAGAGGATGACGCGGGGTGGGGGGTCGATACCGGCCTGGCTGGGACGGTACGAATTCATATCTAAGATGGGCGATGGGGCAAGATCACATGTAAATTTCACACACCCAGCGGGGACCGATAAGTCCGGCCTCGGGAGGGTGGTGTATCGGAATTCTTTTTAGAATGGAGAGTCTACGCTGTGCAATCTGAGGTGTGCAATAGATGTTGCGTAATATGTGGGGCGGCGACGAGGCGGCGCGGGAGTGGCGAGGGCGGCCACATTGCCGCCAGACCGACAGAGAGACCCAAAAGACTGGCGGCGACGAGGCGGCGACGGCGGCCACAAAACCGTGAGACCGAAAACACGGCCCAAACAACGGGCGTCGACGAGGCGGCGACGGCGGCCACGTAGGACGATCCTTACTGGGGCATCCTGACGAAGGGATGCTCGGTAAAGGGTCCGTAAGCCAGAACCATTTGAGAGACAACCTGAGTGAAGACCGCTCCCAAATCATTAAAAAAACCCTGCATGAGAATATGTGCTAAAGAATGCTTGGTCGGGTATTCCCACTCAGGAATGATTTATACGAAAGCCCTCATAGAGCATCCGTTGCACAAACCCCTACTAAGGAAACCATACGCATTCATCATGTGTTAAAGGGATCCTTCATACGGAATCCTTGTTGAGGAAAGATTGGGGAAGAACCCTTTATGCAGACTCCTACGTAAAGGATCTCACTTCAGGGGATGTGAGTTTCGAGTTCTTGGTAAGGTATTCTTCATATGGAACCCTTTCTAAACGATCCGCAGGCAAGACTCAGAGGACTTACGAAAAACCGCTGGAATATCTGAGGAGTTATTCCTCTCGTTCCTCCGCTTCCTTTTTCCTGACGTGAGGGCCCTTGGGGACCGGGGGTCTCTTCAAAGGTAGTGTTTAACAGACATCAAGCAACGGATGGCCCCTGCAATGTCATCCGTTGCTCGTTGTCCGTTAAGCACGTTGCTCCCCCCAAAGGGGCCTCCAGACAGCGCCCTCCCTTATTAACCATAAATCCTACTAAGAATGTTCGGTCTTCGTTGCTCGTGCGCCAGTCAACATGTGAACCCTCTCTGGCGTGCGGGAACCAAAGGGGCGGGCGAAGCACTGAAGCCAGCTCAGGCAAAGTGTATGGAATCCTCAAGCGACAGCACCTGAGTAAACTGTGCGGAACTACCGTGGGAGAACACGGTTCCAGGGAGTCGACAGCACAGCGCCGAAATGAATTGAACGCGAGTCCTGGAGATGCTACCCAGCGCGGGACCCAAATCGCGATTTCTTGCAAGTTCACGCGGTGCAATCTAGGATGCGCAATCTATGTGGTGCATACGGCTACAAAGCAATGCGAAGCAATGCAAAGCACAGCTAAGCAATGCAATGGAAAGCAGGGCCAAGCAGTTCAAAGCAATGCGAAACAATAGGAATCTAAACGAATCAACGCAAAGCAATTCAACGCAACGCGAAGCAATGCCAAGCAATGCGAAACGATACAACGCAATGCGATTGCAGTGCACGGCGGCGACGGGCGGCGACGGAATGCAAAGCAATGCGCAGGAATGCGAAGAACTGCAAAACAACGCAATGAAATTACGGCGAAGGGAGGCCTCGAGCCAACCGGACTGACACCAGGGCACAGTTACTGGCAGTGACGGCGTCGGCGATGGGCGGCCACAACCCGACCAGATCGACACCACAGCTCAATTACAATTACTTTAGAAAACAGATAAAGACACGTGAGTACAAGCAGTGGTTTGAAAGAGTTGTTAGGCAATCTCAAGATAAAGCACGATTCCTTCGCCGATTGGGGGCACATATCAGATGGGAGCCGTTGTTGTGAACAGGAGGCCAGTGATTAGTTTGAGCCTCGAGACCTTCATTGCATAACGAAACCACGGTGCGAACGCCACGTTGGGCACACCAATTGAAACATACAGTGGGCACAGGAAGGGGGGCCGTCTGTACTTATTCTTAGCACTGATATGTCAACAACGAGAACGACACTCACAGACGAAAGTTCGTGATCATACGAGACAGTGTGTTCCATGATTCATTATTTTGGGTGACGGCTGTACCCCTGGGGGGGGGGGCGGCGGGTAACTGTAACGGCGGCCGCGCCGTGCGCCCGCCAAGGTGCGTCCGCGCCATCGGCACATCAATTGCCTGCGCGCGCTACAGTCCCTGCGCACGCGGCAAAGCCAAATGCACGCGTGCAAGACAACGCCGCCCGAGTGCACCACAGTGCCTCGGTACACCAAAACAGCTGCGTTCAAAATGCCACCACGTCGCCCACGTACGCCGCAATACTTGTGTATACTGCAGCAACCGTGTGCGCAACAGCGCTCGTGTACACCACATTGCCTGCGTGCACCAAAACGCTGCTGTACACCGCGACGCCCGCGTGCACAACAGCAACCATGTGCACCGCAGCGCCTGCGCACGCCACAATGCGTCCGTGTACCACAACGCCTGTCTACAACAAAACGTGCCAACGGGCACATCAGTAGTTTGCGAAGTTGTTGTTTGCGGGGCCCGCCACAGACCGCGGAACCCCCCACCACGTCGCCCGTGTGCACCGCAGTGTTTTTGTATGGTGCAACTGCCGTGTGCGCCACAGCGCCTGTGTGCATCATATTATCTCCTCCTTTTCTTCTCCCATCATCAGGTCCTCCTCTCCCTCCCCTCCCTCCTCCTCCTCCTCCCCCGCCGCTTTGCGGGGCTCGCCGCGGACTAAAGGGGCCCTCGGGGACTAAGGGCGTGGGAGGTTGTTTCTTGAATGGCACATGAGCAGGTAAGAGCGAACAACCATATCGTACCTCGGCGCGCCGGCCCGCAACGAACATGTCACGAAATTCGGCCCGCAAATGCGAGCGAAAACCTACGGGGAGGACGAAGAGGAGCGAGGGGGAGGACGAGGCGAA